TATCATTAATCCTGTTTTTGAATTTTAGTTAATTTCAATTATTTCTTATAAAAGGTAGAAATATTAAAGTTCTAATTAAAGAAATTAAATTACTTGTTTAAATAAATTTAATAAATAAAACCCAATAGTAATATATTTTTAAGATATAATAAAAACAAAAACAAAAAATACTAAAACTGTATTCAAAGTTTTCCCTTGTTACTCTGAACCACAATTTCAAACAAGGATCTGATAACCACATATGCAACATTAAGCAGCTTCTTAGTTGGAGTGGACAAGAATATCACTGCATGTAGTTGTTGCTAAAGTTTATGTTTATGTTGCCAGTCGAAAGTAATTTGAAACTCCTCCGACGTTGTTTTCGCAACTTCATCTCCCATGTTTTCGGTGTTCCAAACTAATGCGACTATAGCGACATACAAATTTGAAACTAATCCGTGTTAATTAGTGCAAAAAGTTTTGCTTACAACTGCTGGGATTATGCGATGTAAGCCTTCGCCAGATATAAAATATTTTCATATTTTGCTTTTGAGTAGATTTCAGCTTTTGTTTTTGTCCGAAAATTATAATATATCTTATTTTTACTTTAATTCTATATAATTTTACTTAATCGAAAGTACATATATAAATTAACAAAAATAAAAAAATTAGCAAAAATAAATCTGCTACAAGAGAATTGAAATATAATAATATATATATGGTATGTATATATAATTAAAAATCACGGTTTTTCATATTGATAAAAATAAAAATGAGAGTCAAAGCTGAACCACTTGACATGGATCTTCTAATTGTTCTGCTATAAATTTCTATACCAAATTTTTTATTTTTATAGCAGTTCCAGAATAATTATAGTTCCAGAAATAGGAATCAAACTAATTTATTTCAATTGTGTTGACCAACTCAGATATGAAATGTTTGCAGCTTTGGACAAACCAATTATTTATTTATTAATTTATTAAAAAAAATATATCTAAAGAACCATACAGACAACACGGGAATTAAATTTTTGGAATATTTAATTACCATTTAATAACAAGTTAATAATGCTAAAACAACAAAGTGGACTGCAACAATAACTTTCGATATAAGCAAGTTAGGAGAAATCGCCAGATTTCCCTTTTGAATCTACAAATTTCCCTTTTGAGCAAAAGAGTTTTATTTGAGGACAACTTCGACTATGTATTACAATGCATTCTCTAACACAAATTGAATGCTATAAAAACTATAGTAAAAAATGTTGTTGAACTGATGGAGAGTATGCGCTCCAGCATTTTTTGGGTTTGCTGTTTTAATGAGGTCAATTGCACGTTACTTGAAACTCCAGTTTGAACTTGAGTGTTTTTGTATAATTAATAACCATTGGGAGTTTTATAATTGTAAACATTATAATTTTTACATATTTTTGAAAATTTATATGTATATTCTTTATGTTGGAAAAATAAACATAGCTGTAATTTTTTTAACATTTTTAAATAACGTTTTGGCTGACCACTTAACTATTTTGGATATCGGCAAATATTCAACTACTGTATTCTTTGTGTAAATCAAGACTGTAGATCTAGAGGCTGCATGAATAAAACATAATTTAAATTTAATATTGACATAACAGCCCGTTTTTCACACTTTAACAATTCCTTTATATTACATTATATATCATGATACCGTAGGTCGAATGACATCCCCAGGGGCTTTAAGATTGATCCTATCCGAAACTACATGAAGTGTAGAGCCCTGAAATTATTTACAAAAACTGACAGTCTTATCAACACTGAGTTATCGAGCCTCAGAATGGTTACAGGCTCCTCGGATAGGTATGCGGATTTGTTTAGTCAGATGAAGTAATGAAGTGAACAATAATCCAGTCCAGGCGTAGAGAGGGGTTATGAAGAAAGCTTGTAGTTTCTTGAGCATTCTCTATTACAGTGGTCAAGTGCACTGACTCAACTAGCTTCAACATAATAATCAAAGTTGTTGACGATTATATATATCTCTTCCATATGAATTTAAGAATCGTTGAAAATTTAATAAAATATTTTCAATTATGAAATATTATTATTAGCTTTTTTGTCGAAAAAGTTGTGCTTTAATTACTTAAAATTTCTGGTGCAGTTCAACAATATTTTCAGTATCAAAATAAGTTAAAAATATTTTTCACAGCGAATGGCAATTACAAATCCTCAAGGACAATTAATTTACAACCTGCCAGTTTACGAAGCATGACGCTTACATGCAACCCAAAACTTCGTACCCTGTAAGAGTGCGCAGAATTTCTCGGAAGAGTTCATCTGTGTGTTTGCATGTGTCAACTGGAATTCCGTATGAAATTTCGAAACTACTAAATAAGAGTTTCTTACTTTTAATTAGAACTGAAATGTAGCAAATGCAAAACTTTTTAACAACAAATCGCACAGTGAAAATAAAAGAAAATAAATTAAAATAGCTGAAATTTCGGCCACCAAATAAAACAGTCAAACCTGCACAGGGGCTGGTGCAATCATTGGAAGCCTGCTGCCTTCTGCCTGCTGCCTTCTGCCTGCTTTTCCGCTTTTCTGCTAAATGTTGCCTGCTTTACGGGGTCTGCAGCACGAGACAAATGCATTGAGGTGACAAACTTATTAAAATTATGTGGCGTCGAATGGCACAAAAATAAAGCAAAAATTCATTTTATAATGTGAAATGTGAAATTTTTTGCTATCGCACTCCAAATACATAGGCGAACTTTTGTTAAACGCCTGCCAACTAAAACACTAAAGCAGGATTAAAAAAATTAACAAATTTATTTGCCGTAACATGCATTGCCAGGATATGGCAACAATTGTGGTCGTTCAGCTCTAAATTGGCGTTGTGGGGTGCGAGTGCGGGCGCTGTAATGGCAAATTGTTGCAATGGCTTGCGATAATGAAATTAACGAGTTACCACATTAACGGAAATATTTTTCAAATTCATTTTATTTGAAATGCCGCAAATCGTTTACGAATAAAATTACAAAAATTTCATTTTTTATGCGAAAATTACTACCGCAATTGTTTAATTTAAAATGTCAAAATAAAGTGTTTAAATAATTTACAAAATGGCGTTTTAGTTGCATAATTTAGGTGTGGCAACTTTTGCTTCAAAACCAGTTAAAAAATACTTACCCGTAACTCGTCTCCGGCGCATACCTAACCCTACTTATTTTTATTTGACAACAATTAAGCACTTTCATTATTTCTGCTACTGTCATTTAAGCCTGGGTAAATACTGCCAGGGGAACAGCTCCTTAAATTATGCTACTTAACCGTATTAAGGCGTTAACTGTCAAAAAATACGGCATCATTAAAAAAAGTAGCATAAAATGTGTACACATGTTGCGTTAATATTGCTACAGTTTTCGTGCCGCTTCCGCCACTTGATGTGTGCGCACAATGTAACCCTTTTTCGCTTGGCCCATAACCACAGGCCTAGGCACGTATACTTTGTCCAACCGTTCGCTCCCGCCCGCACTGTTGACATAATGTTTACATTGTGTACATTTAATTTTTCCGGGTTTGTATTGCATAGAGCGGAGCTGCACAGACGAGACAATCAATTAAATTAAATTTTTCTTCGGGGAGGCTGAGAAAATTAATTTTTAAAATGGTTCAGCAGTTAACGAAATTTGAATTTGAATTATGAGGGTTTTAAATGCTTTCTTGCCATTCTTGTTTCGTAGTTGAATTTACTTTCAGATCTTTTAAGTGCTTAGACACAAACTTTATCTTCTCCAAATAGTTGGAGTTGTACTGGGGAAAAGGAATGGATTTTTTTTAAACTGTTTTAATCTTTATAAAATAAACTTCACATAAATCAATATAAAAAGAAGTAAATATTTAAAATATAAGCAAAAAGAAACTCTGTGATTTAATTTTATTCGCCTGGTATACAAATGTTTTGATATTATTTCTTTGTCAGAGACTAGAGAGTATTGATAATGATGGTGAAAATATCTCAAAGTCGTATTTAAGTTTTAAGTTTAGTTAAAAAGTTTGAGTTATGCGGACTTTGTGTAATATTTTAACAATTTTATGTTGGATTAATAATTTTTCAACCATTTTTTTTCGGAGTTCTCCTGAAATTTTTAAGGGGTGATATATATGGATAGGCTATGCTTTAAATCATTTTAAACTATGGGTACTGAATACATATTAAAAGTTAGACCATTTATATAGTAACAATCATTCAAATTTTGAGTAATAGATATATGAAGATTGTTGACAGATTATAGAAGGTCTTATTAAAGTTCAACAGCCGTTCGCATATGGAATGACCCATATGAGTTTGATCTCCTCATTTCCAATTACGGTTAAATTTTTTTTAAAGCCTTCTTTTTTTAAATAAAAATTCCAATGCTTCGGAAAAAAAATTTTATAGTTTTATCCAAAGATATATGGATGTTTTGAGAATTTGAATTTTAGACCAATTCTTTGATGACGCTATCGTAGGCTCTGCCAATGAGAGACACCTACATTTTGTTACTTTGTATAGATAATTAAACTTTTAATAAATATAATAGTAATAAAAATTATTTATATTTAGTTATTAATATTGACTGTTGATTAAAAAAAATTTTTTTTGAAGTATCCATGGACAATTTGAATGTTTTATTTTTGATTTAGATTCGTCTTGATATATCATGAAATAAGAGAAATATTTCCGATGGTATTATTTTCAGTATTTTAATTTCAACAATTGAAATAAAAAATTTATTGACACAGTTTTAAGTGAGGATCAGTCATTATCAGATCCAACTTAACAGAATTCTTGTACTTCTTCTGAACCGTTTGTCACATCATCCTAAAAATTACACTCATTCTCAAATTTTTAATTAACATTGAAAACAATAACAATTTCACATTTGATGTGAGTCATGGTCAAGTCAAGGTGAGGAAAAAGTTGCCTTAAATAAAAATTTATTCTGTAAGTGGAATTAAACAGTTACGCTTAGCCATTATATTTATATATTTTTTAAATATTGGAAGTACATTATTAAATCAATGTTAAGATAAATAAAAATGGTGTATAATAGTCAACAGTATGTTATGGTCAAATAATTGTTAGATATTATTGAATATGTACTTTGCTTATGTACTTAAAACTGGTATATGGTGTTATTGTAGAAGATAAGTTCAGAATCCGGAAAATATTTTAAAACTTATCTTGACTCGTCGAATATACTTAAAGTCTTATTTTTGTTGTAATTTTGGAGTTGATTTTCAAGAACTTCACCCAAGACTTTGGAGGCCTTTTTGGTCACTGCTTCTCGTGCAGCTTTAACTATCAAATTTATTGTGGTAGAAGATATTCCAATAATGTCTGCTACCGCTTTTGTAGTTAAGCTTAAGCCCTCATTCTTAATATAAAAGAATTCTATATAAGGATATTAAATACATTTAATTTATTTAATTATTGGTACCTGAGCTGCTAAGTAGAGTGCAGTTGCTGCTATAGATGTTGGCGACCTTCCGTAAATGTTCTTGAAGTCTTTAATATTTTCCGCAATGAGATGTGCTGCACTAATAACATTACTTGACAGTTCTTAAAATATTAATATAATTATTATTTTATATTTTCAGTAAAATGACATCAGGATTTACCTAATTGAAAACCAAACCGACTAATGAAATCAGTGCAATTGACGTTACCCTGCTTGACTTCTAAGGTACGCAGAAACTTCTTAACTGTTGCAGCGATCTGGTAAGCGGAAACACCTCCAATAACAGCTAACTCTCTATACGATCTGGGTACAGACTCAACCCTTGCAGCCATATATATGGCTGCCAAACACTTACATTTGGTTTCAACTCGTAAGTTAAAGTATTGAGCATACTAAATAAATTGAGTTCAAGTGCGTTTTAAATGGAAATATGATAAGGTCGATAAAATTTAAATACCTTTTTAAAGTATTCCTGAGCGCGATGTGCAATTGAATCAGGCATATGGGCACGGCTACAAAACTCTCGAACTATGCTGAACGGTTTACCAAATACTTTATCTTTTGGATCGTCTGTGCATCTCGTAAGTATTGAAAGCCCATATGTTTCAATATCTTGTTCAATACTAGCACCGCTGTTAAGTATTTGATAAAAGTTTACATTTAATATAAATTATGGTATCTTAATTTGTATAACCAAAATATTGTTTTTAATTAATATAATCGTAATTCAAGAGTTTTCACACTTACCTCATCGTAACTGAATTGTTTTTTTCCTTCTGCGATTCTAAGAAAACCCAAAACTTTTTGAAACATTTACGAGAAATTAAATATGCATTAAAAAATTATTAATGACATATGTGACTAAAAATTTTTTAAATTGTAATAGATTTAGTCAACGCATGGTTGCATTTTTCATGATTTATTTAATTTAATTTGGTTCATTTGAATACTGTTTTTTAAGGTTGCATCTCATGCAACACCAATGGCTCTTATGTGGACGAAAATTGCAATTTTCTAAAAATAACGATAGAAATATGTTTATTAGTTGAATAAAATGTCAGCTTCTTCTTATCTTTTTATTAGTTATTTTTAAGTTGTCAGATATAATTGATTATATGAAACAAATTAGAAGTCTTGTACGGGCTTTACATCACAAACTTTCCTGATGGAAATCGACTTTGAGCTCAAAACCAGCAACCAATATCGATTTTAATATATATAATTTTATGCGTTATCGATAACTTTTTGGTGCAAAAATGGCGAAATGAAAGATTTTGAAAGTACCACGAGTTACTCGTAGTAACTTTGAGTAACACTGTGTATACACAAATGCGTTCCATCAGCAAATTTTCGAGTAAATAAGAGCTTCTGAGAGAACATAACATCCCTGTCGAAATTTGAAAATGCTACACAGACTTAACTCGTACATTTTATTTCGAGTAAAATTTGTGTTAATGTGTGAATCAGCTGTTTTGGTTTGAATTTAAATTTTTGTATGGTTTATTTGCGCGGCATTGGTGTTCTCACCAAACTTTACACAAACCTATTCCATAAAAATCTGTGTAAAGAGTGTAATTTGGCACTTTATTTGAGTTTTACTTGATCTGTTATAATAATTATATTCTTGAGTATATTTCAATATCCACAAGTATTTTCTAAAAATGACTACATTCTAACCTTTGTAGGTTAAGTGCACGTATTGCAATGCATCAATAATTAACTGCACTCGAAGTCGTGTTTCTAAACAAATTTTGAAATTAACACTACGTGTTGTTGCTCTTATACACTGAAATTTCTACCAATATTTGTAAAATAGTTTTTCTTGCCTCACGAAACTTGTGTTTACCAATTTGCTAAAAGAATGGCTGATTTACCTAAAATTATGCAAGAATTATGAAGAAAGGTATGTAAAGAAAAACAAAGAAAATTCCAAGAAAACTGTAAGGAAATTGTTTGTGCCCGCACAAAGGTAGGAGTAAGAAATTTACTAGAAACTAATGAGGAACTACGTGAGTTGCAGTATAAGTCCTTATGCTCCTAACTGAAATTAAAACGCCCATTTCACTTCTATGGAGTACGAAAGACCTACGAATAGAAAATAGTGTGCGGAGGGTAAACAAAGTAATAATACAGTAATGGAATAAAAATTGAGACCATGATTTGCAAAGTACGATACTTAAAAGTGCAAATGACTTGGTTAATGGTAGGAAACCTGTAACTAGTCTAGATACTCTGTCGCTTAAAACTAAGAAATATATATGTACATGGATTTTATTGTCAAACTGATATGCAGATTATTACTTAAATATATGTGTGTATAAAATAATTATATTTTAAATTATACTCAAAATTTTTATATTTGTTACGAATTCATTTATTATTAATTTGAGATGTGGAATCTCTTAGAGTGTTTAAAAATGTTTTATAATGTACTTTCCGTTTTAATTTGGAGTATACTTGATACAGAAAATCCAGTTCTTTTAATGAGTGCAGCAGGTTTTGTAGTCATACTTTTAAGAATAACCATCACATTCTATCAGAGGTAATTATATACATTCATATGTACATTATAATGTACACAATATGCACATATGTTTTAATTTTTTTAAAAATTATAATATCTCTGACTGATTATATATAAACAATTTTATATTTAGTGTCGGAGTTTTGAGACATCCAAACAAAAGCATTAATTAGACAAAATTATGTAGACAAAATCAGGGATATACCATAAATTTTGAATAAAACTCATAAATGCTATTTAAGAATTATGAAAAACGAAACCGATTGCATTTAGAGCAAAATATTTCTTCAGAGTATTTATACATTTAAACGTTAAGCGTATTCACGCAGCAATATTGTTAGGATCTGTAAAGTGCGTATACTTACTGGTATTAATGGTGAAGGAACTGGAATTGGCAATGAAAATTTGTATCAAATTGTAAGAAGAAGTATTGAATTTGAAAAAGGTCTTTTGGTCATCCTTAAATTGGATCAAAGTATTCCTCAATACTATTCAAATTGAAATAGAATTATATTTTTGATGTATGAAATTTAAATATTAATAAAAAAAAATCGTTTTATTTATTAACTTACAAAAAAAATGAAATTTTTATTCCTATAATACACATATAACATATCTAATTCCTGTTCTATAGAAATCATACAATATTAACATATATGATATGCTTGCTAGACTGGGCACTTCTTCTACGGTTACCTCTATATCAATCCCTGCCACTGTCAACTACAGTCGTAGGTTGAGTTATAACCAATTTTTGCGACAGTCAAGTAGGGAGTTGGGTTATACTACCTCAGCACTAAGGTCAAGGGCTACATGGCCAATTTATTCCAAATGAATAAGAATAATTTTTGACTTGATATACAGGAACAAACCAGAGGTATCTATGTTAATATTTGTGTTAACAGGGCACTAGACCATAAGACGGTATGGGGCTAAGCTCTGTAAAACTCTGAAAACCTGCAGCATTTCCTGTAACGCGTGTGTATTGATGGTCAAACCAGAACGCTCAATATGTTTATATCCAGGCTTGTCTAGAACCAGGTTTAAATTAGCTGGCGATATCGCCAGCATTAGCATTGGCCACACTCTCGCTTTTTTAAATGCATCTGACTGTTTCTAACTGGTCCATTCTTCTACCCATATCTAATTGAGGAATATTCGTTACTCCCTTCTTTTCACTAACCTAACATATGGTACTATATGGTACAGGTATGTTGTGGGTTTTTTTAAAATAACTCAGCTTTCATATTGTGTTTCACTTCGATCAACAAATAAGTTTGACATAAATGGACTTACCATGCAACTCTAACATCCAGACCTACCATCAGTTACAATCCATTTCACTTTTGTTAAATAATTAAATTGCATATTCAGTCGTGATTACAGTATGTAGCGTAAATCTACTAATGTTCTGCATTTCTAGTTGTTTTCATAGTAATTGTTGCTAAAGCTCTTGTAAATAGTATTAGCAAACAAGATAAGTATAACAAGTGCAATACTAACAAACACCTTCACATCTATACACAAATGCAACAGCACAACAAACAGCGAAATACGCTCCTACAGAAACGTCCTTAAACATCCTTAAACGTGCAAACTTCACAACAAAACCGCACAACTTAAAATGTAAGGTAAGGAACGCATTTGAGCATTTGATACGCCTGTAAAATTAAAACAATAACTAAAGCAAAAACAACAAGGTTTTTACGTAAAATAACAAATAATGTCGGCAACAACATAGGTGCCTAGTATAGGATAGGTTCTTCTGTGCTTTGCTTCTTTTTTTTGGCATAATTTTGCTAAGTTTAATTTAGTTTGGCAGCAATGCAATGTTGCTAAATTGCAATGCGGAGCAACACTTTCATATTGCAAACAGGAAATGTGGTTAACATTTTGTGCCGCACGCAAAAACGAAATCAAACAAAGAGGAAAAACCCGGGAGAAGGAGTTGACTCCTGCCATTAAGGCGTTGTAATGGTGCAAAATGTAAGAAGAAATAAACAAAATGAAATCCTACGAAATGTTGCAAATGTTGCTAGACAGGCAACTTAAACGATTTCTAAACTTAAGTAAAGTGTTAGTTTCCGCTTAACGTTATTTTTAATTTTGAAATGTCACAGTGAAACAAAGGCTAAGACAGGAGCACTCTTTTTGCTCCTTTGCTATACGTAATTTGGCAAAGAATCAAATATAAAACTTTTAAAAACATTTATATTGCATAGTTTTAGGAGATATGTGCAGTGGATTATATTAAAAATTTACTTGATTAGATTGTTGTTAATGGAGAAGGGGCAAAAGAAAGAATAAAATATTCAATTGGTCTGTGAACTCCAAGAGTTTTGCTAAGAAATAACCATGAGTGACAGTAATGTAGCAAGATCAAAACTACAAAAGGATTTTGTGTTCTAGTCAAACTATCCGAATCTGTTCTAGAGTTTATTTTAAAAGCTAGATTAAGCTAGTTAGTTTAAGGTTACAAACATTTTCAAATTATTTCAGCTATACAGTAATAGAATAAATATTATGTCGCGATTTTTTCGTTGAAGTTATATAAAATAATAAATCTTTTTATTAAATCATATATATAATTATTGTTACTATCAAATGTTTTAATTTTATTTAATCTTATCTTTAGACATGATTGCAATAAATTTTAATTTTAATCAAATTAAATATCAGTTCGTATTGAAATTTCAACAGCTGAGCCATTTACCTAATTTATTATAACTTATCCGACTCAGTTTTGTCGCATTGAAAACAAAGTGAAGAAGAATTATACGTATGCATCATGTTATGAGAGAACGTTCAAGTTTCTTCGCTTATAAAGACCATGTTATGCAAACAGTTCTGTAACAAGTGATCAGGACGGTTTACACACTTTTTGGTCATGACTATGGAACTATGCAGATAGTCAATCACAATTTAAATTTTTGTACTATAACTACTATTTTGGTGTATCTTGGTGATGCCTGAATTTGTACAGTAATATGTATTTGTTCCTAAAGGAATAAAGCTTTAACATTTATAACTGAGAAGCATTGGTTAAAACAATGTTACGAGAGACAATAATTTTTGTATATCACTTCAACAGATTAAGCAATACTTGACCTCAGATCTACATACCTCCACGAGAAGCCTGTAACCATTCTGAGATTTCGTAATGCGGTGTTAGTAACATAAGCCTGTTAGTTTTCGTAAATAGTTTCAGAACTCTATTCTTTATGTATTTTTTAATAGGATTAATCTTGAGGACCCTAAAGCTGTCATTCATCCTAATGTACCATGTCACTTTGAAAAGTCTTCTCAGAGCCTGGCTGGCTCTAGATGGCGAATA